GAGCGCCGCCGCGCTTCCCAAGCGGCGCACTATCCAGTGCGCCACCAGGCCGGCCCAGAAGGTCCATTTTTTATCTGAACCCACCAAAAAGGAAAAAAAAAAGGACACTGCTTTGCTGCTTCTGCATTTCCACAACCAGGCACAGGATCATGGGAGGAAGGTGTGTCTGGCTATTTGGCAGCTGCAACCTTGCCCTCTGCTGTTTACATTTGAGAGGCTTTGCTCAGAGAATGCATCTTGGCTGTAAGAGTCTCAGCACTGGAGGAGGAAAGATGAAGTTTGTCATCCGTCTCTGTTTCATACCAACTGGGCAAGTGTCATAACCTCCCTAAGCCATCCATAAAATGTGTGGGAATCCCCACCTCCAGGGGAGTCGTGAGACTGAATTCAGGTGCCTGGAGCTCCTGGCCTGGGATAGCTATGTGAATCCCTTGCCTACAGCCCTGGTCAGAGAAGCACTTACCATGTCGACCTCTGAGATGCTGTCCAAGCTCTCCACCTGCACATCAACGCCAACAGGAATGGCTGGGCCTGGGGACAGGAGATGACAAGAGCAGTCATTCTTTTTACTTCAGCTTTTACTATGAAAGAGATAGGCAAAAGGAGCATTTCCCCTAGAACCCAGGTGTCATGTCTAATTTGAAGGTTTGGTCATGCCCACCTGAAGTCAAACTAGAGATAAAAGGACGGAATCATGGGCTGGCTCCCTGGAAGAATAAAGAATATTCCAGCGAAAGTAAAAAAAAAAAAAAAAGAAGGAGGTTTGGTTTGGTTTGATCTGGTCTGAATCATACGGGTCATTCTGAAATGATTTCTCATGAGGCCGCCCACTTCATTTTCATTATTTACCTCCTGATTTTGCACCCTCTACATCAGGGAAGCCAGTGGCTCTTGTCTGGCCATGAAAAAGGCATTGCTCAGTAAAAGGCACCAGACCCAAGTCACATTTGGGTCATTTGCTAAACCTGCAGATCTGCATCTTTGCAACCTGAAGGAGTAGGTTCCAGGGGGAGACATCATATACCAGGATGGCCTTAAAAACATTGAATTTTTTTTGTCATTTCTGG